GAAGTAATTTAAAAACCACTTCGATACTATAGCATGCGGTGCCGCAGATCTTTATCAACCTCATTCTCAATGGCTGGCTATATAACAATGCTACGTGTCAGGCAGTCCACAGCGGGAAAATCAGCAGCGAAGCCTTTAAAGATAGGTGTAAGAGAAGACTGGCTGCGTGCCTACCTACTATCACCGATGATTTCCTTAATTGTGGCGGGTTTGGATTGCGCGGAAGACTGTGCGTCGGGAGCAAGAAGACAGGAATACGTTTGACGGGCAAGAAGACTCCAGAGGAATTTGACTTTGTGGCCGACTTACGTCTAATGGTTACACACAATCTTGAAAACTTACACAAGCGAAAACAAAACAAACTGGTAAGGGGGGGGGTAAGCAATGAAGATATAGAGATTTCTAGAGAGCATAAAGCAGATGGAGGTGATGGGAACAGCCAATGAACAACAGCAACAAGCACCCAATCATTATCAAAGGTAGAAATTTGAGGGAGGCCATTTCCTTTATTGATCTAAGTGACAGCCTGGATGATGTCGAGACCGGAGTCGAAAAGACAATTTGGATCTTCATCACTCTGAATTCAGGATGGAAATCTTATACACTCAGCATAAACAACAAAACTCGGATTTTCAGCATCACTGGTCAGTTACTTCTTCTATATGGCTCAGAAACTTGCACTGCCTGTCACGTAGAGCATTTCCAACAACCTGCTACAGACTTTTATCAACAACTGTCTTTTACGGCTCTATATTAGAGATCAGATGGCCAGCCAGAAAGATTTGTCAACAAGGAACTCTGGAGGTGAACCAGTTAACAAATATGTAGGAGTAAATGGAGATGGACAGAGCAGATGCTGAGGAGACCGTCGAATGACATCGCGCTCAATGCAGGCCACCACTTGAGTTGGACCAGAATGGAAAACGATGAGTTTTGCGTGGGTCCGATGGTGAGATGGAAGAGATGAGAGACTATGATCAATTCTGGGACCAGCCAACAAAAGAGGACCACAGAGCATAGGACAAAGTGGTGATGTGTTGTTGGAAGCCCAATGTTCCACTTTGAACCGAAGGGAATAGTAATTATATCTTATAAATTATCACACAATTATCTGTAATATGATAAAATGGTAGTTATAAGGATAAGGGGAAATTATTTTCAGGTGTTTTGTGGGGGTTTGATGAATAATTTTGAGTTATATCACACGATCTAACATCAATTAAGAAACCGTTGGAAATCATGGAGTATTTGACAGCCCGTCACGTGTAAGGACACTAGTACTCGCCGATGATCGGCTGACAGTGGCGCTGTATATTGCCAATTGGCAGAAGTTAGAATTCATAATCTGTGAAAGGTCAATCCTCAAGCTTCTCTTTGGGACTGAAGGCGCTTACTGTCGGAGAGTCTGAAACTAGGACGAAACAGCCTTTACAGTACTCCCTGGCTTCCCAATGGTTTTTTGAATGAAGTTTATTCTTAATCTAGCTTGAAAGGATCCTATACATATTAACTTGCTGTCTGTTGCATGTGGTATATATTTAATTTTGGTTTTTGATAACAGCTTTATTCCACACCGTATATTTTGGTACAAGTATGGAATTTTCAGCATGCGATATTGGTAGCCCAAATTTTGCAAGCCGACCATTGATATCATGTGTGCGTTGGCAGGAGATCGAACCCCGGGGACCATGTATATGGTCGGCGAGAGTCCTAACCGCTGTGCTACCGACGCACCATTGAATTCACTTAATATGTGTTACAACTATACCTAATAAACAGTTTCACTTCACCATTAAATGTGTGCCCAAAAGGGCAGATAAAAACATTAAGCGATTGTATAGTCTATATTCTTTGAGTATTGATTGAAGGAACACTTTGCTTTGTGTGTTTGTTTGTTAAAAACTTCCCCTTTTCTGTCAAATCCCTACAAACCAACACTTGAATATTAATCGAGTGCTCACTAATGACTGACTGACCACAGGATGGGGTTGCCTGGAGTCTTAGTCAGCAGAAGCTGTGATCATCAACTGGATCCACAAAGTTGGACGTGAGGAGAAAATAATCACTGATGACATTGAGTAGTATAGCTGTCGCGAATTAGTAGAAGTTAAGTGACGGTCATTGAATCCCTTCCCAGTGATTGGAATAGTCAAAAAGAGATCACCACCTTGTAACCTTAGGGTCCTGGGTGTGTGTGTGCGTGTGGACTGGTGAAGAGTCTAAAAAAGGGACAAAACAGCTGTTTAGTACTCTCCGGTTTTCCAGTGGTTCTTTAATTTAAGTCAATTTATTCAAGTATTGGTTTGTAGGGATTTGATTGATTGGTTACAGGATTTCATCATGAGTTGACATTGTTTAGAGAACCATTGGAAAACCTGGTATTACTGGACAGCTGTTTCGTAAACCCTGTTTGGGACTCTTCATCAGTACGCACCCACAGGGGTCCGAACCGAGGACCTTCTGGTTACAAGGCTAGCGAGCTCGTAGACCATTAAGCCAATGGGACCCGATCCAATGGCCCATGAATTTTAACTTCTGATCACTGGCGACTGGTCCTATTCAGGTAGGTAGTTACCTCGGGTTCTGGTGGGAAGACCTGACCAGTAGGGTGCAGCAGGTCCGTTGTGAGAATTCATGGACTGACTGGCCATTGAATCGGGTCCCAGTGGCTTAATGGTCTACGAGCTCGCTAGCCTTGTAACCAAAAGGTCCTGGTTTCGAATCCAGTTGGGTTGGGTGCGTACTGATGAGGAGTCTCAAACCAGGACGAAACGGCTGCCCAGTACTCCCAGGTTTTGCAATGGTTCTCTAACCGATGTCAGCTCATGATGAAATCCTGTAACTAAGTCAATTTATGATCAAAATTGGAATTAGTCAAATCCTTACAAACATAAGACTTGAAGATTATAAATAAGTCAGGATACGTCTTTTTTCCGTCAAGCTAAGCTTTATTTCATAGATACTGAGTTAATTTTCTTTGCAAACAGTTCATGTTGTGAGTTGATGCTGTCCTGTAAGCTCGTTAGCGTAAAGAGTTTACCCACACCCAGGTAGATCATGGGGTTATCGACGTTTGTATAGCCAGATAGTACTATCAGCTCTCATATACCAGATGTCACTCATTATCAGATAACTGCATATGGTTATTAAGATGTTATGTGGGGTTACATCGATTGAAATGTGTAGGGCATGTGTGCTACGGCTGATAAATCGTTGTCTTCCTCGACGAGTAATGTTTAATAATAACAATTATATTGATTTGCTTTATTCCAAAACAGTACTTATGATACAGTGGGGAAATTTCCAGCATTTTGTACAATATTGTAATATAAGGTCACCTTGAGAAATAGGGATGATCAAACTAAAATCCCGCATGATTCCATGAAGGCCTTGACTGTTTAATTGCGCCGCATAGGGGTGGTGTACCCGGTTCAACTCAGATCAGGGAACTGAATTAGGTCAACCCACATTAATTAAACCTGTGAATACCTATTTCAACGATGTTTGTTCGATTTTGTGCCCCAGAGTCAAGAAGAATTGATTTATTCGCGTTACTCTGCTCTGAAGTTTCAGTAGTGATGGGGGTTAATTTCAATCGTTAGGTTTTCGTCACCAATCAATACCAGTTATGGAGACATCGTTGAAAATCAGGGAATACTGGTCAGATGTTTCGTCCTACTTTAGGACTCTCCAGTGGTGCACATCCATAACCCCGATGCAGGGAATCGGACTCGTGACCTTCAGGTTATGAGACCAGGCTGGTTGGCCATTCAGCCACCTGCGAATTCTAATTTTGTCGACTCGTGATATGGCGCTGCAGTCGCCATTGGCTTCGAGTAGCGTATCCACTTCACCTTGGCATGATGGATCCTACTGGGGGTCGTGGGTTTCCCCAATGCAGCTTCAGCGAACCTCTCCAGTAGCTATCAGTCAGGAATGTAGTTGCTAGCCGCCTGCCCAACGTATTGTTTTTTCTCCTGGCTTAGGACCGTTTGCCTAACTAGTGTATTTGTGCATAAAATGTTGAAATCACTTTAGGTGTGTTTACCGAACGACGACTATGGTATACATCTCTCTCGAAGAGATTTTAGCCCGTTGTCATGTGATTCATGTATTTTGACTGATCTAGCCATTTCTTTTTAAGGTAGGAAGTTTAATTAACTTCTGGGATAAAAGTCTCACTATTTTATCCCTGACTTGAATTTTTCTTTCAATCTTTTCTGAGCTGTGAATCACTAAGTAGTAATTCTCTGGAATTTTTTCAAACTATGAGTCACTGTTTGCAGTCATGCATTGATATATATCTATCATCCTCTATCAAACTGGTATAGCTCATAACCCCCCCCCTGCTAACATACTTCACGTGGTAGTGGAGCTTGCATATCCCAATGATTCATCGGGCTACATTGGCTGGAATGAATGTTCCTGCTAGTCCTCCCACCATACCAGAGAGGTGGTTTGAATAGCAGTTACCATCATAGTGTAATATGTGTTTCCACTAGGTCTGTGGGCGAAGTGGTGTACTGTTGGCGAATAGAGAGGGATATAACAGCAGTGAGGTGTTTCACTCAGATGACCAGCATAGCAGCTATACTGCCTTACCGCTTTGGAGAGAAGCAGGCTTAGGCGAAATCGATCCCGAAAACTGTAAATCCTGACTTACTTGACAGCGTTGTGAGACCTTAACATGGACACCATTCCCAAATCCATTTCAATCAGGCTGTATGTGTGATCGGCCTCAGACAGTTGCCCTGTCCTTATAGTCAGGTTAAACCAATTTTTAGTAAAAATTTATTTGTCAAGTTCATTAATTCGTTCATTAGGTAGTTTCGTTTTGGGCTGCTATAGCTATAGAGTCGCCGATTTCATAACATCAAACGATTTTTCAACACATTCTATCACTTGTTATCTATTATTGTAAATTCTCAAATAGAATCATTATTTCAGCTTTACATTATCTCTTCTGGTTTTTCTTTGTTTTTTTTTGTTTTCTGAAACAGGTTTTCAATCCACGATATTTTCTAGTTGAACTAGACGATCTCCGTGGGAATGCTACAAAAGAATTGATGAAAATATCAGATAATTTCAGTGCTATCCAGTTTATTGCTTATGCAGGTATGCCCGAGATTATGCCAGTGAATGAAAGTCAACTGAAAGGCATACTGCTATCACCACCACCTGGTTGGCCGAAAAATCGATATTTCACTTGGATTAATTACTTAACCTATCTCTCTGCTCATAATGATTATATAAGAAGTTATACGTCAACTAGAGATATCATTAGTCAGCATAACGCCTCTACCATATTTCAAGAGAATTCACCATCATCATCATCAACATCAAAAAAAGCCACTGTAAATAATTCACTTCTTCATCATCAGTGTACCAACCTATCCTCTGAAGGTATAGAACAAGCAATCACACTGAATAGTTTGCCGATCTGTCCTTCAGAATCCATCTTCAAAGGGATTCATGCATTTGATGCTGTACAAAAACATGAAAATTCAAATAATTCTAGTACTGAATTGAATGCCACTATTTTGAATTCTTCAAAAGATTGTTGTCCATCAACCAAAGAAATTGAAACCAAGTCAGATAATAAAAATGAGTTGAATTCAAACCGATTTTTGCTTGGTATGAAGCTGGAGATAGTAGCACCGCCTGAGTGTTATGTTATGTCTTCAGAATCTTCTAACACTTATGAAATTGGACCTGCTCTGTGTACAGCTACAGTGACACGCGTTGATTATCCTCATTTATTATGGCTGCTTCCAGATATACCCTATGGCGATCAGAACAATAATTCTCAGGAAGACACAGATTCTCGTAGTAGTTATTATTATTATCGTCGTCGGCCGATTCTAATGGATGCTCGATCGACAAACTTGTATCCTGTTGGTTGGTCGGCATTTGTTGGCCATCCAGTTATCTCTCCGAATGGTTATAATATGAAGCAAAATTGTTCACTAGAAGAAGAGGTGCGGATGTCATCGTTGTTGTTGCTAGACAACAACAACAACAATCCGTCTACCATCTCGCCTAAACAAGAAATGAAAGATACCTTCAGGTTACCAGCAGAGCCTAAAGATGATATAAAACCTAAACGTGAACTACCAAGTTATGCTGAAGACGAAATATGCCCGCCTATTTATATTAATTCAAGATGTTATCTTGGTCCTTTCTTGTGTAAGGTGAGTAATTAATTCTAAGTGGTATTTTTTTTCTCTTATACGTGAGTTGGTGGTTATTATTATTATTATTATTATTATTATTATTATTATATCCTTTAATTCCTAGAGGAACATAGGGCTTCAGTCGCTCACGTCTCCATTGTGTTCGGTCTTCTGCCAATTTTTTCACCCCGCTCCAAGTCTGCCAATACGCTTTCATCTCCTCTTCACATGACCTCCTCCAAGTCACCATTGCACTGACGACCAAGTCGCCGCTTCCCTTTCAGGTTTCACTCGAGGACTCGCCTAGTGATGTCACTTGCTGGTTTCCTCAGAGTATGGCCAATACAATCCACCTCCATTTCTTCCTGCCTATTTGTTTCACAGTCGGTTCCTGCTGTGTTGGTTCGCTCACTGCCAGAGATCCCTATTGCTGATCTTTTCTGGCCATCTGATCTTCACCAGTATTGAGCGAAGACAGCTGTTATTGAAGGTCTGTAGTTTGTTTGAGATTCTCTTTATGACGCGCCAAGTCTCTGATCCGTATATTAGCACTGGTAGTTGTATTCACAATGAGAAGGAGAGTTATAGTCTTGTTGACTTTTACGCATAGGAGAAAGAAACAAAGACTACATCACATGGACGTCATTCTCTTCTCACTAGTTAGTGTATTTTGTATTCTCCTGGAATCGTTGACCAGGCACTCTAAGTTAGTCACCTTGTCTGTGCGTCACTGGTTATGAATGACTGACTGACTGATTGATTTCAACGTAGAACTTTGCACAGATGTGCAGAAGTTCGAGTTGCCATACACTCTCTCTTTGTAGGAAATAAAGCAAGAGATGAAAGTAATTGAGAGATAACAAACAGAAGTGTGAGACAAAAAGAATAGTAATATGAAAGAACAATAAAGTTTTACTGGATTAGATAAATCGTAAGCAGTGAATACATCTGCGCCAGGCATTGAGAACAACGATTTTAAGCCATATCACCAGTTGTTTCCAGCCTTTATTGGTTCTCTCCATCCCGAGGATTCAACCAGACAGTCAGAAGGTCTTTACCTTCCTACGCGGCTAACTGTTGGGGATTTCACTGACTGATGAAGTCATGTTTTGGTTTGGGTTGGGGATGGTAAACACCAGTGAAGGCTGGAGACAATTGGTGATATGGCTCAAAATCGTTGTTCTCAATGGCGCAGACTTATAATGCTCAATAAAATTATATTGTTCTTTGATATTGCTACTCTGTTTGCTTCGTATCTCTGTCTACCTTCTCTATTTTGCACTTCTTTTTACTTTCTTCTCTTGCTTTATGTATGTACTATATGGAGTGTGGCGACTCGAACTTCTGCACATCGGTGCTAAGTTCTATGTTGACACCAGCAGCCAGTCATCAGTCGGTGACTACATGCACATACGTGTCGATTGATAATACCGACCCGTTAGGAATTTAGCTATTTTTATAATTTTTTCATTCATCGGTGTTAGTTCGGATAACTGACTGACTGACTACTACACAAGTTCTCCAACTGGGTTTCTTAATCGATTCTGTCAGAGTATGAAGTTTAAAGAAAAGTGAAGATACCTCTATAATTCACATGTGTATACTTTTAAATGAAGCTTTTTTAAGTTACGTAAAATTGTCTCTTGATTCTCGGTGACATTAAAGTATGACTGGTTTTGTACAAAACCTTTCTGGAATAGTTTTTAAAAAGAATATACATTCGTTGTGGATTGAGTGTCATGCATAGAAGCTAAGAAACTTGACTTCTCAGATCACCTTTTTTTTAAAGCTAACTGACTGCTATTCTCAACTTTAAGATGAGTTGTTCGGTACATTCGATTTGAGATTTTGCAACATGTTGAAAAGACTTCAGAGATGATGATGGTGATTTAGATAGTTGGAAGTGATTCTCAGGAAGCCTTGAACATGTAGGCTTCATGGTTGTTGGCTTCAGTGGTAACATCTATGACTGTAGCATAGGCTGACCGAAGTTCAAATCCTAGAAAGGAATTGAGTTCCTTCGAGGTTGCAGATACGCCTTGCTGACTTGTGAGAGCGTCAACCAATCTAAGGCTTCCTGCTGATTGCCTTCAATCATCCAGTATAACAGTAAATGCTAGATGGTTTGCATGTCGAAACTGATACAGTGTAAAAATGAGCCCGGAAAATGAATAGGAAATTCAAATTTATGGACAGTCGTGGAGCTAACCAGAGAACAGAGTACAATGGAGATGTGATGCTGAAGCCCAATGTTCCATTCGATACCAAATAATAATAATAATTTGTTTTATTCCAAAAACAGTACTTATAATACAGAATGGAATTCTCAGCATTCATCACAATATTGCATCTGATTTACTTAAAATATAAATAAAAAAAAAATTAAAACAAAAGTAACCAGAGGAATTTGTCCACGTTTACGATATAAAGTCAAAAATATTCGAAGCACGAATTAAGAGTATTAAATATAATAATAAAAATAATAATAACAGTGAGTTTGTTTCAAACAGTGTTGTCGATTCAGTTTGGAAATTTTAGCATGTTATTAAAGAGTATTGAATCTAATGTTCTGTTGATATAGCAGCATGGTGAGGGGAAAGACAAAAGTAACACTTATAACACAGCTTGAATGATGTTCACACTTATGAAAAAATAAAAACAAAAAAAATGAGAGGATTATGAATGTAAGAAATACAATAACAATAAAGTTTGATGGTGTAAGGGTGGATGAAATGGTTTATTTAGTAGTGCAAAGAAGGTTAGTTAGTTAGTTCATGCCTGACACTATTTTCATCACATAAAGTACGTGCCAAATATGATATAGTGGGATTTTTATACTTAGACGTACGTGCATAAAGTCTTCTGAAAAGACTTCTTGTTTTACCTGAGGAGACACAAGGTTGAAGCTGCGGGTAGAGTGGATGCTCAGAGTCTGACAAAATTCCTTTAGCAAATTTGTTGCATGATATCATGTACCTATCAGTGACAATGTCAACGATATGACCCAATGGGATACGACTCGTCCTACTGACAGTCTTCAGAGTTCTACGAAGTATGACATAGTCTTTTTTAAGCAATCCAGGAAAGAATAAGCAAGGGTGAACAGTAAAGAAGAATAGGTAAGATGTACGATTGAGTTATCCCTGAGTGCCTTAACTTGTTAATGTAAAAAGTCAGACGAAATATTCTTTTAGAAATTGCTAAGAACGAATAATAATGATAATAATAACATACTCAGACCTCCTACATCCCTAATGATGACTGGCAATTATCAAAGCTAAAGCAAAGTATTACCTCTCATCTAACGAAATAGTACTTTTATTCAATGAAAACTTGGTTTACTTTTAGAAACCTGTGGTTGGTCATTACTTCACAACTGCTTCTACTATGAAAGTTGATTTCTTCTTGAAAGTGTAAAATTATTAGTATTTTGTGTTATTGTCACTGAGCCGAACGGACAACTATTTGACGCCTAGTAGTCACCTACTGCTTATTTTCCAGTAGTAACAGAAGTTGTGCCTGTATAAAGATTCAGGATTGTATAATTTTCTAACCTCTCCACTTCCTCGGAGAGAGTGAATAGGGCAGCTTAACTGGCTCACTAGTTGTCCGAGGGCAACACCTTCCTACTGTTACATCCCTATTCACCGGCAGTACTTCTTTACCCCAAGACCCTAAACACAGACAGTGTGAACAACTTATACCATGTTGCTAATTGGTTTTAGTCTATCCAATCTATCCAATGAGCCTTCTGGCATAGTTAGTAAGTCGTGCAGGAACATTTGTTCCAGCTAGTATAATTCCTTGGGTCATTGAGGTGTGTATACAAACCCAAGATCTTTAGGTCACGGTAGCATCTATCGGTTTGTAATCATCAGCTTAGAGCACAGGTTGACAAATTAGACCGGTATCTAAGCCTAGCAGCCATGAAAACATGACGTCAACACATATGAAGTCTTTGGTTGGTGGTGAATTGATCCATGTAGGCAGGCAGGTGTTTATCTGGGGTGTGGTCTTCAAGATGCTAAGAAATAATAACAAGAGGCAGAGATGATCAATGATCATTTTTTATGGCACAAAATTGTACTTATTCTGTGCATAGCTATTCTTTTTTGTTTTTCTTCTGGTTTGCCTTTGTGCGTGCCATTGTGAATTGTGCACACGTACACAAACTTTAACGTTGAAAATTTAGTTTAGAATCATTATTATTATTATTACTCATGTATAAATAGTGAGTATTTAATTCACTAAAAAGAAAAATGCAATCCACTGAACAACAATTGCCGGAAATTATAAAGGCAGGACAGTCAGTATTGACCTTCATGTTGCATTCAGTAGTATAAATAATAGCAAAAGTGCCTTAACTATTTTCTAAGAGTTTTCTGCTAATCATATATTAGGAATAATGTTAACTATCACTACTACTATGAATTTCCTGAGCAACTCTGGAATGGAGTAAAGATAAGAGGCTGAAGTTAGCAAGACAAAAAGAGTGTCCTAGTTTACAGGATTTCATCATGAGCTGACATTAGTTAGAGAACCATTGAAAAACCTGGGAATACTGGACAGCTGTTTACTCCGTCCTAGTTTGAAACTCTTCAGCAGTATACACCCATCAGAGTTCGAGTCCAGGACCTTCTGGTTACAAGGCTAGCGAGCTCGTAGACCATTAAGCCACTGGGACCCGATCCAATGGCCAGCCCATGAATTCTGACCTCTGCCAATTCACGACATACGCGACCCCTAGCCAAGGTACTCGGTGAGTATTTGTCTTTACACCCGACCAGCTGCATCCTACTGGTCACGACTTGAGTGGGTGCGTGCTGGTGAAGAGTCCCAAACTAGTTGGACGAAACAGCTGTCCAGTACTCCCTGGCTGATTTTCCAATGGTTCTCTAACTAATGTCAGCTCATGATGAAATCCTGTAAACCAATCAAATCGCTACAAACCAACACTTGAATAGTGTCCTAGTGCACTGGGGAGTGTTGTTCAACCGACTCGTTAATTCTCCTGTAGA